GGAAATCACTAGATCAGCGTACCTTATATTCGACAACGAATGTTCTTTCGCCCGCTCCATAGTATTAATCCAACGGGCTCGTCGGGTAGTATGTCTGTGGTGCATTACAAACTCGGCTGTCCCTCCGTTCACCGTATCTTCGATTCCACACCACGCGCCGGTTGTCGGCCGCTGACGGTGTTCCGTACTAAGGTCGTTTGACTCGACACCTCGGACCAAACGTTTCGTATGCCACATCCGTCGAGGTCGCGCCGTAATCTGAACCGTGCTAGCTAATGTCACTGTTTGAGTACGCAGCTGTGTAATTAAACAGTACTTATCAACACATTGCATTACGTTAACTACCCTAACGTTTGAACAGAGCGCTTTGTCAGCGTGACGAAATCTGTATTGGATAGTAATGTCGATCAACCCAAAATAATCGGCTTGTGCTGTCAATGAAAAGCAAATTAAAGCCTGAACGAAACGTATTTGATTAGTATAGTTAATGATAAACACCCCGTTGGTTTGTGAAATTTCATCGCTTTTTTTGTTGGCGTTTTTGTTGGCGTTGACAAGTTTTACGTAACAATAAATAAATTAATTTTAAATAATAAAATGTATCGACAATTTTTTTTATGTGACAAAGTGGCAAATGACCTGGCGGTTCACCTGATGTCAAGTGATAACCGCCGGGTGATACCCCTAAAGTGGGCCCAGCGTATCTCACCACCAGCCCATTCCTGCAAAAGCGAACACTCTTACGTGGTTAGCTCACATAATACTTGATATGTTCAAATTTGACATCAAAGGTTAGTTAAATTTATTTGCCCCCCCCCCCCCCTCACAGGAAACCCCAGGAAAGTTTGTACACGTGGTAAAATAAACATTTTCCTGATGTCGCTGTTGCTGAAATAGATGAAGAGCATTCATTTGACATATTCGAAGCTTTTAAAATAACGGCTAGCCTCGGGCCATTCCGATGGCCGATTAGTTTTATTATTCATCGCTACCGGTCCGTCCACTCGCGGTGACATTTAACGTCGCGCTAACAACCACGTCTGGTCGACCTTTGGGTCGTTAAAAGAAAGTTTTTTTCTTGATATACGACTGTTTGCACGCCCTCACCGATTTTGCTGGTAATTATAGCTATAGTGACTACTTCGGATGGCGTCTTGTATATTTACTTCTTCTAGTAAACGTGATTAAAGTTGTTAAATTAAACAGTGATAGTGGTCCAAGTAAATGATGTTTTACCACATGTTAGAGGAGACCAGAGAAGATTGGCTACCTGTTTAGGACAGCTTCCATCGACCTCCGGCATATTTGCACAAGCCTTTACATTTTTAAATCAAAATTGCATCTCGCTCCTTTACTATGTATGTGACGGAAACGTGTCATGGCTTAATAAGAAAGAAATATATATAATTATAGTAACACTACAATACACAGCCTAGTATGCGTTCCATTACAGGGCATAGACCTCCCTAGTGGCGGTGCTCAAGTACCCTCTGCATTCAAGTATCATCTGGCACGGGGTTCAAACTTGGTTTTTTTTCTTTGCCTTTCTTATCTAGCGTGAGCAAACTTGAAATAGGAATAACAATTAGTTTAAAGCATAGCCCACGATATTTATATCTTCGCTAAGTGGCAGATAACGGCCAGCTTGTAGAGTCCAAGTTCGAGTCGATTCGGCAGATATTATTGGAAAAAAAATGTACGATTGGGGATGACGTGAATTACAACTGCGAAACGATATTGTTACGGATATAAATATAAAAACAAGTCCTAGAGACCTTGCTCTCTTGGGCCGTTCACCCGCTCGCCCACGCGGTTTAGTTTTATCGATTACGCATTCAACATTCCCTTATCTTGAGTAAGGAACAGTGCTCTACGCGTTCGAGTATAAAGTGCGTGCAAAGAAAGTGCACCCATATCAATAATTTGTTTATCGAGTAATGATGACTCCGTGGCGCAGTCCCGGGAGTCGTGGGTTAGATTCCCACACGGGACAAGTATTTGCGTGACCGACAGATAAATGTTTCGGATCTGGGTGTACGTCCACGTGAAATTTAAGGCCCATTTACACGATGCCATTTTCTTGTACATGCAAGAGCAATAATTGAATGCAATAAATTGCGCGCAATAATTGGTTAGACCATTTGTTGTTTAGACCATGCAACTTATTTATTGCTTCAATTTAATTGTATACAACAGGCAAGAAACTGGCACCGTGTAAATGGGCCTTTATGTTTGTAAAACGCTCGTAGCATCGCCCCGCAGTATGGACATGCGTCATCTTTATTAATACATTATTGAGTGAAAGTATAACTGGAGTCACTCAATACAGTTAAGCGCTGCACGCACGTCTTATTCGCAATAAGAACATGGTTTAGAGGTAATCAAAGTAGTTTTCGAGTCTGATATTAATATTATTTCGAGGCACGCTCGGTCATTAAACCTCAGCGTATCCGACCGCATCGTGACATCTGTCAGGTTGACTGACAGAATGCTGAACAAAGTGTCCGATTTCGATTTGCAAATGACCCCCCCGTATCATTGTATGTGATCGAATTAAACACGCTCTGAATTGTAAGACGTCGAGAGTTTACGTGAACACGGCAATTTGGACGTCTCGACGTTGTGACTATATTATCTACTTTTTGGTTGTGATTTGGGACTTTCTTAAAACTAGTTTTCCCTTTTTAGAAATTCGATTCATGTTGTTTATTAAATATTTATTAGTTTCATGCTTTATTTGTTTGCTCTCGTGTCATTTGAATGTACGTTCTTTCTGTTTATTAACTAAACTGTTATTTCTAGCTCTTTAATTTTGGATCAAAATTATTTCGTTGATATTCAATGGTATTACATTAAATGTTACTTAAATGAAGTATGTTGCATTATTGAATGAAGTAGGCTTTTTTATTAAAAAAAACTCGCCAGCGCTTGACTACAACCCCTATTGATGGTAAGTAGTGATGTAATCATAAGCGCAAACGCTCTACCTTTTCAAAAGCCTATTGATAATAATGAATTCGTTATATGGAGGAAAATAATCTTTTGATTATACTCAATAATATCGTAATAATACAAATACCTGTACAACTCGGAGCTATAAGATGTGGTAGGAGACTAGATAGTTTTCTGACACGCCATTACTGAGTTTCTCCGAGACTATTCTTATAGTATCAAAGTCCCACCAATTATAGGTTATTCACATTTGAGTTGAGTCATATTCTTGGAATAATTGTTCTTATTCCAATTAATGACGAGTTGATTTTTTTGTAGCTAAACAATTTTGGGAAAATTTTTCACGAATGCGAGGGGAAGGACAATGGAACGAAAAGAATATTTAGTGCTTGCGGCATAATATTATAAGGACATTAAACTTATGTCTACCAATTTTTACAGTAACTGTAGTTACTGTATACGTATTTAAAGCGTTTATATTAAAATTAGATTTCTTTGCGGTTCCTTAATAATAATAAAAAAAATCTTATATATGATGCTAAATATTAGTAAGTGAATTTAAGAGTGATTAATTTAGCAAAATATACATTAATACCCATCTGATAAGACTTATTGGGTTGAAGTTATGTAAATTTAAGACACATTATGGAATAATCAACAGTATTCCATTTCAAAAATCTCGATTTACATTTATTTGTCTCGTAGGTTGTAATCTTTCACAAATTCATTATTTTTCAAGCACAAATACAATCATTATTTGCATTTAACGATCCTAGGGCCACGCAAAAGTCTTCGCTGTTGCACGAACAGGCAGGGCCGACCGAAAGAGTACCACGACCACACAGAAGGTCGGCGTGAAGTGGAAGAGTTTTCTACTTTTCTTCCGATGAGTGAGGAAGCAGGGGCCCATTTTATTAAACGGTGACAACACATCTGCAACCCTACGCGTATTGCAAATGTTATCACTTAACACCAGGTAAACCGCCAGCTCGTTTGCCACCTCCACACATAGAAAAAACCGTTTCAAGAATTGTTAACCTTTTTATCATCTTTTAAAAAAAACGTTTTTTTAAAGATACCTAACCGGCTGTTGTAGTTATTGAATTATTTCCGACTCATTGTGTTAATAGTAAACGTTAGCTGTTATGAATGCGCGGCGGATTGTCACGCGTCACCGGCAACGGATGCCGGGGGAGAAAATAGCAATGGGAAAACTGCAACGTCACTGGCGATATGTTTGTCAAACACGTTTGGCTATATTTGACAAATAAATTAGAATTTTACCAGGAACATCGTGCCTAATCTACGCGTGACGGGCTGAGCACCGGCACGGAGTGCTCTGGGGAGCACGCGATATTCGGATGCATAATTTGAATACGACATAACTGTAAATTGGGTATTTCATTTGCTTACTACCATACGGCCTATGGAAAATGTTTTATATTTTACCCTAATGTTTGTAATTTGCTACCACGTGACAAATGTTAATTGTTTAAAGGGAGCTCATATAGCAACGTCTTATTCAGTAAACTTATGTAATATCCAGATATGGTTGTATATAAATTTACATAAAAGTCATAAAAGAACTTTAAAAAAATTAAGTGAACTTTATGTTACTTAGTTGTTGCTACTAATCTTACCATTTTAGAAAGAGAACAAATAGTATAATAACCACTGATACCCATGCTTAGGTCGTAGCTTAATTCACAAGCAAACCCGTATTTATTTTAAGCACCATTTTGCAAATATTGCTAAAAATATAAATACGCCTTCTGTTGCATTTAGGTAGACTTACGTATTGGCTGTTCAAATAATTGATCAACGTTTATTGAACGCGCACATCGAACGCACAGCTGTGTTTGTTTGACGTCAATGATAATTAGGGGGTATCAGTTCTTAGTGTAACTGTGTCTCAGTACAGCCTTACTCATATCAGAATTTAAAAAGTTTTCTTCAATACACATACACGAAGTGATATTTCAGGGTAGGGCATTAAACTTTTTGTACATAAAAGGCGTCGCTTACATCGATACATTAAGGTCTGTCTAGTCCCCACTAAACGTGACGCGAGTCGGCCTTGGCGTTCGGTCTACGGTCGGACAATTTCGCCAGCTCTCGTACTCGCCTCTGCTGTCCTTCTCGCACCCATTAACTCCACCCCGGCTGCGGGTCTCGAATTTCCACACTGAACGTTCGAGGAAACTGACTCAGCTGTGTACTATACACAAAACGTTCAAAACAAATTGATCTCTGTGCAATTGAAAATACAGTGCATTTCTGGTTTTATATTCGTGAGTATTACAAGTTTGAAGAACCAATACGCCGTGGTATAGTTCTATCTCTTTTTTGTCCGTCGCGCACAGCTGCCTCCGGTCAGTACGTTGAAGGTAGTCGAGGAGTGCAGACGTCACGTCACGCGTTGGATTAGAGCTGTCAAAGCTGTCAAATATTCGAAACGTTTCTCAAATCCGATCGAAGCAAAGTTAATAGCGTGTCGGAAGTGTTATCAGGCTTCGGTTCCACCTCGCACCCGGGCATCATTACTCGGATTTCGATTAGCACAATTCGAATACGAACCGTACCGTTGTTTTGGAAACATTGAAAGTTTCGTATTCACGCCCGTGTGTAGTGACTGTGTCGCAGCGGGGAGCGGTAACAATTGCTGGCGAGTGCGTGCTTCGACACGGCCGGCTGACCCTACGGCCGAACGCGGTCGGGTGTGCATAGTGCGGGATCGGCCGCGGTACCATTGCGCCCGCCAAGGGAGCGACCGATGGGAGTTGCTGTGACTGGGGTGGCCCACCGCAGAGCCGGGCGCCATGCTGCCCCGCGCGGTTTCGTCTAGCGACAGCGGAGACCTTCAAAACGGCGTCCACGGAGGCAACGGTACACGCACCACAGGTTTGTCGCGGCCGCCCTTTCGGAGCGGCACACGGCAATGCCTGCTTGAATTTAACACACCGTACAAATCGTTCACCGGTAACTGGTGTGGTTACGGTTTAGAAACACCTTGTCGTGTTTACTCGCGCGTACCAATATTTTCAGAATCTGTAACGGTTTACCCTCTTTCGTTCATCCATTTCGAAAAACTTGTTATGGGGGCCAAGGCTTGTTATAAATAAACTAGAATACGTAATTACATCATTAAGTCATACTTAGTACTATTTGTATATCATTGTAGACTTGATATACCAATACCTGTTTCTAGACGAAAAAGGGTATCGGTTGCAGTGACTATGCATTTAGTAACTTTGAAGCTGAATTTACCAATTAAATACACTGTTAAATTGATCTATCCATTTAATTTGATCATTCAATCTATAATAAAGTGAGCACAAAGATTTCGTATTGTCGATGTTTAATGTTTTATCATACTTTATCGTTTGTTTAACATTCATTGTCCATTGAAACTTGCCAACTCTTTCATCGCATTGTTTTCCTTGAGCGTGCAGTATGATAATCGAACTAACAGTACAAATGCGAAAGTCCGTGTTTAAGAGCATTCGTTGCTGAACGGATTTTAATGAAATTTGAAAATAAAATGGCCGTTTTAAACGTATGATTAACCGTACTATCCAAAAAGGGTCACGCGTGAGACGATTCTGATAAAAGCGACATGGCGTCAGTTCGGTTGAACAAGGACTGTTTGATTCGGACGGCTTTACGATACACGAACGATATATTAAATTGAATTACCACCACATTGTCTTTATACACGCGTACAAAGCTGCGAGCTCGAAGCGCCGACAGATGTTGTTTAAACGTGTTTTCGACGTCGCGGATGCCCTCGACTTGCCGACGTCAAGGTGCATCCCAAAGATGTCTGCATTTACCACTAGCTTCTTGCTATTTTTAAACGACTTCAAAAGGAGGGGGTTCTCAATTCGACTGTATTTTTTTTTAAATTACTTAGAACTTTTGACGGAGTGAATCGATTTTGAGGATTCTTTTTTTTTTTTTTTTTTTATTTGAAAGCTGATGCTTCCCGTGTGGTCCAATATTAATTTCGTTTTTATTGGATCTTGGGATCCGGAGATACTTAGGAAACTCCTAAAATGAATACAGAGCGAGATATTTGAAGTCGGTTTTGTTTTTCGTTAGTAAAATATGACTTGTTTCCATTTATTTCCTTACAATGCAGTCATACCTTTTCCACCTGTCGCGAACTAGACCCATATGGTGGAAGAAATTATGAATATTTCTTGCCAAAAATAATTTGTTTCGATACGATTAATGTGACCCAATTCTCGTCATACAATTGACAGTTTAGATAAGCTTCTATCATGTTAAAGAGAAGTCTATAATTTATTTTACAATTGTTAATCACTAGTAAATGTTCATCTGCTAACAATGCGGGCGTACTTGGACGAATTATTTTGTTGTCAAAAACAAAATTTTCCGCTTCGTCCCACACAACTGCAAATCAATCTTGTTATCGCACGCAGCTTGTCACCTCTCTGTAACCTAAGCTGTATGTATAAATCTCGTGTTTGTTTTTTTATTAAATTTTTGTTGTTTGTTCTTTGCGTTCCCTTTTGTCTACGAACGAAACGGAAAACCACTGATAGGACGTCAAAATTACTATGCGTTCTATTTGGCCTACGGTAAATTTCTTAAAACTCGCGACGACACCCACGTCTCAAAATAGGATATTTTTCATTCCCGTATTGTTGTAGATGTGATAAAACCCTAACGTGGGTTTTTCATCATCATGTATCACAGTGACTTCTTTTTATTCAGTTTTGTCTATGGTCGACGAGATAAAAACGTTAACAGCGAAAAAAGTGCACCGCGTCCATCCATCTCCGATCCCGCCCGCTATCGAGAATCTTCTGTTCGGGCACCGGAAGTGTTGCGTTTTGTTCTCTTTTCCGTCGGCTCACCCACCTGTCGCCGAAAAGTCAAGCAGACCGCTACCTTATCCAGAAGTGAAAACGGACCGTGATAGCGTTTTTTAATAGCGCTCTTGTTTCCCGTTTTTTTTTATTGCCCCGTTACTGGCGAAATTTAACCGATGCTAACCACGTCGCTTAAAGTCTCCAGATTGTGAATGCTTATCGTTTATTGGTGTCGTTGATTCACGATGGTTTTTAAATGTTGAAGTGTTAAAAGAAGTGTTTGTCTTGGATTCCTTTAACGTATAGAATAGAACCCAGTTGAACTATTTGCTCTGTTTATCGCCAACAAACATTCTGAAATATCTGGAGGTCAGGTTTTGGTTTTTTAATTGAATTCTTAGGTTAGTTTGAAAAAGATGTCACGATATTTTTCCTTTTTTGCCTGAATGGGAACTGTTTTTAAAGGCTTGATTCGATATCATAGATCCTGTCCTATGCTGCATGAGACAAGATCAGACACGATATAATGGTTCCGGATCCAGAAGTTCAGTCTATACCTACTCAAATTGTACATTTACAACTTCTTAATAACACAATAGTCTAACCTCACTTATTTTAAACTGAAGGGAGAGATAAGATATAGACGGTATTAACGTTGTACCGAGCTTATTTGTGACCCATATGTAGCACGTTAGACGCAGGCTTGTCTCGCACCGGGCGCAAATCTAAAAGTGAGAAATCTAAGAAAAAGATTTGTCTTAAGTTTTCCCTACATTTCTTTCGATCAAAAACTTGGAAGACTTGTCTTTCAACTTCGGCTCCAATATCTTTACCATCTCTCGGCTTCGCGAATTGAATCGTGTTATACATCTGCGTTTTGTCCGGGGAGTGAGGTAACCGAGCCACACTGTATTAAAGGGTGGCAACGCATTTGTAACCCCGCAGGTGTTGCAAATATCCGTAGGCTATGATTATCATTTAACATTAGGTATACCGCCAGTTCGCTTGCCACCTTCTCACATAAAATACGATGAAATTGCTTTTTTATACATGCCGTCTTATCATTAACTACCGTTATATCACAGAGATGCATAATGATGTTCCGTATTTACGAAATCGCATACTGTCGTTGCCAAAAACCATATTCTAAAACGCCAAGCTGTGTCTGTGTTTTCTATGACCTCCACTTTCTTAAGCGTCGCCTTAGCCTCGGGGCCGCGGTCGAAAGCGCGCACCGAATGTTTGGTTTCCCTGTCGCTTGCTATTCGCTTGTAAGCCGAATAAAAACGGCTCTAAAGAAGTCTAATATGAGAATATGAATATATAAAATGACTCTGTGGCGCAGTTGTCAAGTTATTTATTGGCTTCGGCATCGGGAATCGTGGGTTCGATTCCCACACGGGACAACTATTTGTGCGACCCACAGATAGTTGTTTCGCATCTGGGTGTTTGTCCTCGTGCAATTTATGTTTGTAAAACGTCCTTACAAGACAGGATAATGTTATCCCAAAAGGAGGGCAATGTATTTAAAAGAAAAAAGAAAAAAGTATATATAATACTCAAATAAGTGACATTTACAAACAACTAAGTGGTAATAATTTCAAACATATCGTTAAAGCTAATGGAAAGAATGTGTCTTGCTCTGCACTTGCAAGTCCTCTGGCTACTGCTGATTTTATACTTACAAATTTCTATATATCGTTAAATAAAAAAGAATAAGACCGCAGTATGTTGGTCTTGGTTCTTCCCTGGACAGGTCTTCTAAATTGGTGAACTGGTTGTAGTTTTTTTTTTTATTTTCCATAGGAGCTTAAAACAAATATAGGCGGATATTATATGTATATACTAGCTGACCCGGCAAACGTTGTTTTGCCATATAAATAATTTGTAGGATAGAAAAAAATGTTTGGGGTGGACCACCCTTAACATTTAGGGGGATGAAAAATAGATGTTGTCCGATTCTCCACCCTGGCCAATATGCACAAAATTTCACGAAATTCGCTCGAGCCGCTTCGGAGTTACAAACACCGCGACACGAGAATTTTATATATTAAATGGAGTAAAGAAATTTTGAGTTTAAAATCATTTGTAAGAAAATACTACAGTTTCATTTTAAAGAAATAAATAAGAATGTTTCCTAAAAACTGATTTTTCGTGCAGATATTGTTTAAAATTGTGGATTTTCTCATAGTTCCCATGGTCAGATCAAAATTTATAAGTGTGACCCTGGTGTACTTTCTGGCGAACAATGTATCATGATTCTTTCCGAACAAAGAACTTTCTGAAAAAACAAGTCTAAACACCGTCATAATTGTCGTTGAACCTACATTAAAAATATCCGACCGAACATGATAAATATACTAAACCGCTTAGAATATAGTCATTCAAGATGTCAGTTTTGGTATTAGTAGTTATTTACCATTAAGTTCACCGCCTTATATCGCGTCATCCGTATCAAAATAGAATACGTTTAAACAATTATGTTATTTATTAATTTTAATGTGGCACATTAAGATTGTCAATTAATGTACGTCTAAAAAACGTCTTTTTGGCTGGAAACAATAAAAAAGATGAATATTCATTGTTTTCATACGTGTTAGATCTGGAGTGAGTGGTGGTTTCAAAATGTTTTTTTTTGTTCTTTTGAATACACCGGTTAGTTAAAACACTACGTTGGAAATTAACAAGGAATTCGTGGAAGAACGAGAAAGTTTCTACTAATTCATCTCTGAATAGTTTCTCAACTATTTTGTTTACCTAACTAATTTTAGTAATAAATTAAGATAGCTAAACAGTATGCTGTTGCATAACCCGCAAATGAGTGGCCGCTGGCGAGTTATCGCTCGCACTTACCGAAACAAAACGGTCGGCACCACGATAAGAAAATGGCGAAACGTGATTGATTATTTGCAAAGAGTTTCTAAGATTTTTAATTTTATAATTGAAAATTGAATATTAGTTTCTGCGTGCATTGATTCGAATGTCCATGACGCAACGCTTTAAATAATATTCAACTCAATAAAAAGTAATTTTGCATGAACCAAACTGAGTTTGGGCCACGATAAATTACTTTAAGACGTTTAAATACACATTGTATGTTTCTGGAGACTCTTAATTACACATTGTAACAATATTTTCTATTAAGTGCCAGACGTTGGAGATGATGAATTCACTGTTAACCGAACGGACAGACATGAGGACAGTGGATTTTAGAAGGAAGTAACAAATGCTTCTTTGTTTACGTTAATTTGTTTTTAAGCAAATTGTTTTTTTTTTTACATTATATTTTAATACACTTTTTTTTCAATCGTACGGTCGTTTAGGTGAGCGTGAGTCACACTACGGCGGTAGAGGTCTTCAAACCAGTTCGTAGGCGATCGAGCGAAGGCGAACGTCGCTAATCGCGCCCATCGGAGATCCGCCCGCACCGCGGAGGCGGGCAGCGTGAGAGGCGACCTTGCGCGTTCTGACATTGGACTCAGCGATTTCGGATAGCGCCGAGGTCGCATTTCTGAGCAACGCTGGGGATGTGCAACCGGCCTTATTGCATTACCTCAGCTATTCCTTAAACGGTGTTAAGCGGCCGCTCGCGTGTCGCACCTGTTGCAGTGATGCAGCGCCCGGGTGCAAGCTTTCAAAACACACACGACCGTTGCGCAAACAATTTTGTTTCGGAGCTTCGTAATTACGCGGCTTAATGGCTGCCGTCGATGTCCGTCGGCTTTTTGTTTCGGATTAGTTCGTGAGCTTTGTGAGGTAATACGCTCTTACAAAACTATTCGAGTGCTGTGCGAAGTCGTTATATTGTTATGTGTTTGTTTTCTCCTATTAGATATACAGTCCGGAGAATATTAAACACATGATTACGATGCAGTTGTAATTAAAGCGCTTGAGGTTGTGTGATATTCTTCTCTTAATACATTTGCTCATCGTAAGTTTAAGTCAAGTTCTATAGAGTGTAAAGATTTTACCAATTATTACTAAAAAGGGTGTAAAACGTTTGATTAACTGAGCAATACTGCTTTGATAGCGGTACAAGGATATAAACTCGTACGTGATTTTAAACTAGTTCTTCGCTTCTTTGCTTATCTTATACAAGAAATGAGTACAAAGGTATGAACCAAGGTTATGAAAAGTTATTAAGATGTAATAAAAACTGTAACAATCATACACAACACATATAAAACACGTCTAATTTAACTTTATATTTCATGATGTCATTTAACAGTAAGCGCGTTATATAAGTTAAATTAGATTTTTCAAGGTCAAGCTGTACGGCTCTGGAACTCGCTACCCATCTCAATCAGAAATTGTCTGACTAAAGAGAGTTCTAAACGTGCCTTCTTTAAATTTTATTTAGATAATCGACAATGTTGAACACTGACTTGCTTGAATTTCCACTTCTTGACATTATTCTAAAATATCTAATACTATATAGGTATGTATATATTTGTGTATGTATATTTGTATATATATATATATATATATATATATAACTATATGTGTATATTTATGTAATATGTATGTAATATTTGATATATTATCATGTTCTTTACTATCTCATCTGGCTCTTTCGCACCTCCTTATTCTCTCTGCTTATTTGTCGGTTGACTGGTAGAGAACACCTAATGGTGTAAAGTCCGCCATTGTACGTTATTGTGTATAAAGTTTTTAAATAAATAAATAAAAATAAAACACTGATATGAAACTGCAATGCGCTTCAGTGCTATGTACTGCAGATTTGATTTCCAAAAAGCAAGTATTGGTCACTGTTTTTTTTTTTATATGGAAAAAGGAGACAAACGAGCAAGCGGGTCATATGATGGCAAGCGAATTCGCACATTGACTTGTAACATCGGATATTGCATGTTTACAGAAAGGCCGTCATTATTCATGATAATGTTATTGGATGAAAGAGATAATGTTTTCCAAACACAAGATCATTGCATATTTTACATTTCTGAACAAGTTGTTACAGGATGTAAACTCGGACCATATTTATACAAATAAAATAGCTTTTACGCCACAAGGTGCGTTCTTCTTAGGCGTGGATGATGTTTACCAAAAAAAAAAAAAAGAAAGGTACACCATTCGACATGTCGGCAGACATGTTTGGTCGTTTCAAAGTGTAATGAAACTATAGTTTTATTACACTTTTGTGTATATGTATGTTATATAGTGTATGTAGTGTACTACAGTAATCGCCCTTAGTACCGAAATATATACTGTATTTAGTTGAAACTGATTTATTTAATTGGAAAACTGTTATTTTATCCCAAATCGGAAAATAAGTGAAAAAGCTCGGTTCACATGCAACTTAACGATGTAATCGCCTTGGCTGTGTGATAGGTAGACAACGACAATTGAATAAGCCTTACTAACTGTAATAAAAAAGTGTATGTATGGCTATATATATTTATATGTAAAATTGAACATTTACCTTTACTACTTAATTGAACATTACCGAGGCAAAAAATAACAAGCAAAAAATTATTTATACTATTATTGATTGATATATTTATAAGATAATTCTTTGCACCCATTAGTTCTAATTATAAAATACCATTCTTATTGTATAATATAATAAAAATCTTATTGTATCAATTTTTTTAAAAGCAAAATAAAAGTTCTTTTTTGGCCGGTCCAAATTTATTAGTATTTGCTTTAATATTCGTTGTGTATGTTTCAAACTATATTAAATATTCCAAATATAAAAATAAAAACTACGATATGACTTTATCATAGACCATCTTGCCAGAGACCACTGTACATACTAACTAGACGTGTACTTTATTCTAGTTGATATTTCTTTTATTAAGTAATTTTGTATTGTACATTATAAATTTTCATCTTTTCCGAGCCCTGCTGTTGCATTTAATTTATTTACAGCTGACATTAGTTTTCCCTGTAACGTCCGATGTTGAACATTTACATAACTAGATCTTTCGATTTTCCGCCGCCGCCGAATTCGAACTCGCCCACGTCGCGACTAGCGCGGGCTTTATTACGAATCCAATGGAGCTAGCGCGTAACTCGGCTGCTACTTTCTCTGTTATATCGGCATCGTGGTGAGCGCTTTAGTCTCGGTAGCCGATGCTGACTCGATTAGGCCGCGCCAGGCGATCGCCTATCGGACTAATACAGTTGTGGCCCAGTTGCAGGCCGGCCCGTTGCGGCCACTCGACGAAATGACGTGGTGGTGTAGCTTGTTTTGCGGTAGGGTCAGCAGCCACAGGCTAGCTTGCACACGGTCTTACAGAAAACCGGCATATTAACGATATTCTACTTCCGTCTCGCCCTATACGGCTTTTGAATAGAAGTAAATATACTTTTGCGATACGCCCGCATTGTGAGCTAACCTTACCCTCGTAAAGGTTGTTAATGCAACTGCAACTGACTGCTCGTTTGCCATCAAAATACTTAATTAATACAGCTTCATTTATGCAACGACTAATTCAAGGCAACCAGAAACAACCTCTCACCTATTTTAATCGTAAAAATCGTTAGTGCACGCCAGACCAAGCCAACGTCGACAGCTTCTAGGCCACAGCAGCATATTGCAAAACGTATTGTATTATTTCGATTGAAAGGCCTAAGAAAAAACAGTTATCCATTGAAGGATATTGAGTAGTCGGTATACAAACAACCTTATAGCCTGCCTACCCCTCGTTCTGCGTATATTTGTAAAGGATTTATTTGTGCATTACTTTTTAAAATGTCTTTTATAAAAATTCAAGCATGTTGAAAGATACCTACTTACGAATGTTTTAAAGATTGGTACAGCGTGTGTTGAATGCAAAATTTTGCTTTCCTTCCATGGCCTTATTGCCTCGGACAAAACGACGTTTAATCTTTATTAACGTCAGCTTTACTTTCAAGTACTGACGTCGAATTTAGCGGGAACAAACAGACAGACAGACAAAAATTGTAAAAATGTTATTTTGGCATATGTACCGTGTATACATCCATATGCATTTAGTAAAAAGCGGTTATTTTAATATTACAAACAGACACTCCAATTTTATTTATCTGTATATATAAGTAATTAGCGAAGAACGGCCAGCGGTATGATATTCGATCAAAACTGCAACATGTCAACTAACCCAAGTTTGCTGCTGCCGGTGACACTAGGACAAAAATAGAAAGCTCAATTCTCTCACGACGCCCTGAATATCTGACAATGCCCCTTACTATCGCCACCTTATTAATAGCAGTTATGCATTAATTCGCTGTAAATAACTCACCGGTCCCACTGTATTTTATCGCACCGCGATCGAAGCGAAAGCGTTGAGGATATTTTTGTCCGTCAAAACAAACGGGTACATGTGTTTACATTGGAGAGTAAAAGTATGATGATGTGACAATCTAGAGGTATAATGGTAGCATTAAAAGACGCTTTCATAAGGGCATGGAGGTTTCTCCTTCCTCCTATGAAAGCGTGGCTTTAAACGGTTATTCTCAATACAGATTTCTTATCCTCCTCTGTATCTGCTTACATTATACCAAGCCTAAGTTAAAATTTAAAGAGAAATTTCTATCTGAATGACGTCGCAATAGTTTATTATTCATCATTGTGTTGCTTTATCTGTAGCGCTTAGCACTGTCACGTTAAATTCGTTAATTTTTTTTTCAAATTTCCCAACCTAATAGTCAATGAATAAAATAGTTGGTATCTATGAATGGCTGAACATTTAATCAGAATTAATCAATTAAATCTGATGAACATCGGGAAAACCAATTCATTAGTGTACCATAACAATCTAAACATTGGTAGGAAAGGAAAATATCATCAGATTATAGTGAGGGACATATGTATTTTACTTTCAAGAAGCTATTATTTACTAGCATGACATGTTGTATAAACAAATAAAATTTTATTTTGTACCAGACTTTTTACTACCTATTAATTGAGGATAATACTTACAAATGTTATGTTTGTGCCTCGGATGGATACTAGGCACATAAACTGTTATTTTTTTGGTCCACATTTCTTGTGTAAAACGTAAATAGCATCGTACAAATCATCTTAAAATCTACACCATCTTATTCATCGTCCGAGCGTCACCGAACCGAATTTCGTGAAGGGCGATTTAGGAGTTAATTACGCGATATGGTTGATTGATTGATTGATTGAAAAAATTCTTTATTGTACTAAAAGTTTGTACAACGGCGAACTTTATGCTAAATAGCATTTTCTTCCAGTTAACCTTCGGTGGTTGTGAGCAAGTTACGGTTAGTAACGCTAAAATTATATACAAGATTTTAAATGTCAAGGAATGTAATATATGTTGATCATAATAATATTCTTTGTGACATTATATATCACGTGACAGCTTATTGTATAATCCACAGCGGCGTACTCATCGCCCGAGCGTTACTGCGCCGAATTTCGTGAAGGGCGATTTAGGTGTTAATTACGCGACAGGCGATTTAGGCGTTAATTACGCGACAGGCTTGTCACGTTGAATTGCGTCCGCCGAGGATCTCGCTCATGCGAGACGTCATTGGG